TGACGGTTGGACTCGATGATCTTAGAGGTCCTTTCCAACCTCAATGATTCTATGATTCTATGATTCTATGACAACAAAAACATAGACTTACTTTTTCCTTCCCTCCCCCCATGGATAGAAGCTTTATAAAGTAGAAGAGACTTTTGTAAAAGTGGTAATTAAAATGTAACTTAGCAGGAGTTTTAAAAGTTACTTAATCCCAAGCTGACATTGGAGCAGGTACACCCTCGAAGGGGAAGACTGCAGCCTGTGAAGGACTCACTCTCAAGCATAGGAAAGGAGTGAGAAACCAGGAGGGGCAGAGAGAAATCACTACATCCCAACTGCAACCCCACAGCGCTGCTTGTTGCCTCACTGAAGGGACTGAGTGCGACCTGTGGTGATAACAAGGGGGAGGAGAGGAGTCTGGAGTGAAGCTGAGCCTGGGAAAGGAGGAGGGGTGTTTTTTCCCTAAGTGTTTTAATGTTTGTCTTTTTTTGTTTCCCAATACCCAAATCAGTAATTAAATATTTATGCTAACTGGCAACAAATTAAGTTAAATTCCCCAAGTTGAGGCTGTTTTGCCCATGACAGTACATGGTAAGTGATTTCTCTGTCTTCATCTTGGCCTAAAAGCTTTCTTGCTCTTGTTCTTCCCATTTTCTCCCGCTGGGGTGTGTGTGTGGGGGTGAGCGAGCAGCTGTGGGGGTGCTTGGCTGTTGGCCGGGGCCAACCCACCACTATCATCTGGGCAAGTGTGACAATCAAAGAATTGCCAGGAGAACTGAGCTTATTGAAATACATTTTCTGATGCTTGGAAGCCATCTACTGGATAGGTAAAAAGAACACAAAATGCTTCATGGCTAAATGCTGTATTTGTCATCTGAAACTCAAAGGCTGATCATTTCCAACCGTTATAAGATGCAGTGTATCACAATCCTGAAAATTACTACCATGGGGAAAACATTCAGCTGAACACGAGAACCTGGCTTAAAGGACACAGGGAGTTGTTAGCTGCTATATGTGCAATCGACTTCAGCAGTTGCTACACACATACTTGCACAAGTGCATTCAAATTAGTTGCCTCCACATTTCAAGAAAGAGTTGATCTATGGCCGAACGCTTCACTAAAGAGGAAGATGTTTTCATTAAATGCCCTTCCGAGGCATTAACCTTTGAATTATGCAAAATTGGAATATGCTGGAAGATGAAAGCATCTAGCACCCACCTTACTTCTTTCATGTTTTCTGTTTTTCTCTCCCACCCTCATCGACCAGCACGCACAACCCCGTGCCACCGGTCCCAGCAATGCCGCAGCCATCCTCCTCACCCACTAGCCCTGGCTGATACAAACCTGACACAAGGGTTCACGAAAAGAGATGCAAATCAGCCAAGCCCCAGGGAGATAGTTTTCTGCATTTATCTCGTGTCCCTGCTAGGTACATCACCTCCTGTCTCTGGGGCGTGTGGATTTCCTTGGAAAGTTTCAGACAAATCTCTGAAAAAGCCTCTGCAAGGCTCCCTGCTCCACCCCTGGCCAAGATCAGGTTTGGACTAACATCGTGAAGGATGCTGTGAATAGGAATGAATGCCGCTTAGTGAGGCAGCAGCACCCCTCCAGCCCCAGCTGCCATGCCAGGCTCCTCTCCCAGATGATTTCAAGGGATCCTCAAAAGACCTGTATCCTGCCGTCTCATGAAACCAGACCCAAAATGAAAGGAGTTTCTCTCCTCCCAGGGAGGCCTTCAAGCACCCCAAAACCTCACAAGCCAAGAGGGAAGGACCAGGGCTTCTGTGGCACCAAAATCCCAACTTTACGTTTGCTTCAGAATCAGGAGCTTTTCAGAAAAATGAAGACTCCAGAAAACGGTAGTGCTGCAATGGCACTAACGTAACAGGGTCACAGGTGGGACTGCTGTAATACTACCGAGTACAGAGGGAAATCCAGCCACTGGCGAAAAAAACTATGAAAGTTTTTTCTGTGCTTTGAAGAGAATGGACGTATCTTTATTTTTCTGGACAACTAAACTAATTTGAAATCATACATATTCCTTAAATCTGTGCTTCAGGCAAATTACAGCCTGCATGTGAAAACTATTTCCTAGACATTAAACTCAATACCCTGAGACTAAGCAGGTAGACTTACCAGTAACAAACATCTACACTGGGCGGGTTTTAATTCACTTCAACTTAGTAGCCACAATCTAGTCAAGAAGCAATTTCCGTATTAGGGTAGAAGAATCGAGATTGCCAGTATTTTGCTTTGGAGTTAAAATGAAATATGGATTGTGGTTCATACATTTTTTGAGATGCAATTTTTAAAAAAGATGACATTCAAAAACAAGGTATTTTTTTGCCATTATAATCAAAGATATAAATTTCTTCAGCTGCTCTTTTACATTCTTAACACACATTTTCAAGTTGCGGGGAAAAATCCAAACCTACTGCTGGGGTTTCAGTATTTTTTTCTTTTTCTTGCTAAACTAGCAGGAATAAATAATAAACACATCCTGACTCGAAACTTTAGCTGCCTACAACACTGCATTTAAAAAAAAATTGGTAATGACTGCGTGCTTCTGGATTTGTACAGCAAGCTTGTCTGTGCCACTGAGAAAAGATGCAGGAATAAATAATAAACACATCCTGACTCGAAACTTTAGCTGCCTACAACACTGCATTTAAAAAAAAATTGGTAATGACTGCGTGCTTCTGGATTTGTACAGCAAGCTTGTCTGTGCCACTGATTGGAAAAGATGCTGCAGCACCTGTCACTTCCATAGTACCAGTGAGTTCCAGATGCACTTTATTCAGGATGATTTTCTTTTTTATGTATTTTTCTTTTATATACACATATATTTCTTTATATGTAAAAAATATATTTTTATAACAATATATATTTAATATATAAACCTGATGAAAACTCAGTGCAGCCCCAAATCTGTCTCAGTGTTTCTTAAGATCCTGCGTAGAGCGCGCTCTGCATTTATCTCTAAGACTTGCAATTATCCTCACCTGAAGTTCCTCTTTCTTCACATCCCATTTCTGTTCCTGTCGTGATTCGGCTAGCACCTCTGACATCTGATAAGCCGGCAGATCTGTTTCAACATGTCCTTTCTGGATTCTTGGGACAAAATTAATCTCGCCTAACTTCAGACATCTAAAGCAGAGAGATTTATGCTGATCACTGCCAGCTCCCGCTATAGTCAGTGAGGAGAACCAGACCCTTCTAGAGACCCACTCCTCTGACTGACTGCACGCCACGGCCCTTCACGGACAAGGCAGAGAGCCCAAGGGGACCTCATTCATTCAGATGCAAACATCCAAATTGGCAAGATAAATTCCACTGTCTGTGTTAGATCTTTATTAACCCCCTTCTACTAATATGCTCAAGATTACAAAAATGTACATTTTGACAATTTAACAGTTTCAGCTGTAATGCTTTTGTATTCTTATTGATAAATAATATGCAAACCATTAAAAAGCCCCCTATAAAAAGGCATCATTTTTTTGGTATGTCTGCTTCTACCAAAACAAGAATAAAATATAGACAAGTTTAGTGATAGCTGCAAATGTTACTGTTAATGCGAAATAGATACCAATACCCTACTCTCAGGCATTGTAACGTTTCCCCATGCGGAGCAGAACCAAATCTTAAGTAGGCAAATTATTTCATTCAGTGAAAAAAGTTTCTTTTAATAAATAAAATATTTGATATGCCGGTTTTGATGAGATGAAATTATTATATGTATCACCGCCTTCTTAATTAAAAGCTACAAATTATTGAACAAAACTGAACTCAAAAACTTTCAGGAAACAAAACTTTTAATAAAGAACGCGGGTGTTTGTGTTTATAAATATATATACATATACATACAAATAAGAGGACTGTAAGGGATGAAATTGCTTTCCTTTACACGAAAGAACAGAGCGGTCTCTGTGCACTGCAAGCATTACCATTTAGTTGCCTCATGCAACTGCTTTCGCTCCTGCAGGCCCTGTTCACGTTTTTGTTACTGGCTTGTATTTTCTCCTGTAGGAGTTCAAAACCAAACCTGCCTGTCCCCATAGCTCTAGCATAAGGAAAGGCAAGGCTTTGCTTCTTAATAAAACCCCACTTTTTTCAATACAACCGTATGCCTATGGGATTGTAAGATTTCCACAAATATCTTGCAAGATCTGCTAAATAATTTTAATATTTGTTCAAATTAAGGTCCCTTATTTTAGAAATAATCAAAACACAATCGATTCTTTTAGAAAAGAGAACTGGGCAAAATATTCCATGGAATAAGAGTAAATCTCATTTAGTTGTCCCAGACAGACTGCTTCAAACATTGAGGTCTAAACAAAAGATAGCAATCTTATGCAAAGAGATTAATATATACACAGAGGATAAAACATGTATACACACTGCTAAATGTACATAAGGCCTAGAAAATTAGTATTTTCTGAAAAGGCAGTGTTTGTGACTGTATTCTGTGCACAGCTTTCTCAGATGAATTGCAAAGGAAATCTTGGTATCTCTTGGCAGGTAATGTTGAAATCAGCCCTTAAAGGATTTACAAGCTGACAAAAACCATAGGCAGCTACTGGGTCTAACTCTATTGCATGTTACTTATTAATTAATATTGCCCTTTTTAGGTTTGGGAAAGCTTGTGTACTTTCCTCAGTTATAAAGTAGATCTTCCATTCACTGGCACAGTATTCTTTTGTATGTAGGTTGGTTTTTTGTCCCCCCCTGTGTAACATTTCTTAAGCTTCAGCTATCAGCGCTGAGTGCAGACAGCCTAATTTCAGGTGCCTGAAGTAAGTACAGCCTGCAGCTGCTTGCTCTGCCCATCCCTGGAGGGAGGTGTTCCAGCAACCGGGGAAGCCACATGTGATTTGAAGCAGCTATGCAGAGGCCCCACTCTACATCCTCCCATCCTAGGTAGCCCCAAGTCAATGCAAGTTTAATAGCCCGGAGTATGAACTGTGGGACCCCGGAGTTGCTTCCTGTGTGATTCATCCTCCCTAGCTAGAGACAGACCAGGGAAAACCGGTAATTGCTTTAGGAACTTGAGTTTAACCCATCCAGAGATGTCAGAGTAAACCCTTAGGCTAACAATGGAAAACCCAACATTACCTTTGCCTTCTTCGTCATGCAGTCTAAGCTTTTTTGTCTGACAACCCTCAAATACGACATTTTTCCCCCAGACAGTATAGCAAAATATTTTATGTTTTTTATGGCCGACTGGTGGTGAATTGAGCTGAAATGGGAAAGCAAAATGTTTACACAATAAAACCATAAATCATTTTGTAATCATTAACAAGCGTTCTCAAAATCTTACTGCTGCCAATTAGAAACCCAATTCACTGGAACTGGTCACTCACTGTATTATACAAAGGAAAAAAAACAGTCATTGGTCCTTCATGTTCTGAAAAGGGGGATGTGATAGTAGCGGTCGTCCTCAGTCAGGAGAGAAATCTCATTCCATTCCCTTCGGTATTCATCTGGATAGTCTACTTGAAATTCCTCAGTATTAAACCTATGCAGTCTGTAAACTCTTATCTTTACTTCAAGTAAGTATCCAAGAAGAGACAGTTCAACCTAAAGATGAAAGAAGTCTGTAAGACATTTATTTCTAGACTTAAAAAACTAAACCGAAGATAATCCAAGTTAAGGCAAGTCACCTAGCTTCAAAACAAGGAGTAAAAGGGGCCCTTTTGTGAGCGAAGTAAGGAAATTAAAAGTTGGAGGGTATTCTCAATGTTCCAACAGTCCTTCCACTGCTCTTTTGCATGTAGAGGATATTCTGGTTAATGCTTGACACTTTGGAAACATCCCTCCTCCACCTGACAATACATAACCTGCTCCCAAAGCCAGCTCACACAGCTTAGTGGGGAGCACGAAGGAACTATCCATTATTAAAAGACTGATACACCTTGAAAAATGGGAAGCCTGCCACCTTGTGATCACTTGCTACATGAGGGAAATATAATAGTAAAAGGAAAAAACTTCCTTGTACTTCATGTATATGAAACTTGAGAACTGGCCTCTTCATTGACGCTTCTTGCAAAGGATTGTTTAATCTGGAAAAATGCTTTGGAAAAAGCTCATATCCTTAGGCATAGCCAGACAGAGCAAAACTTGTCCAGTTATAATCAAATTGCTCCTGAAGGCGACTGCAACATGTAACAGTTGAACTGAATTTGATTATAAAAAATAATTTCACCCATTGGAAAGTGAAACTATTTGCAGAGTGGCAGTGTGGAGCTTAAATGTCAGTACTTAACACCTCACTAAATATAAAATTGAAAAAAAAATCTTAACATATAAAGGTGAACAATTAATAGAGTTCTCATTACCTACTCTTAACAGACATTACATCTAATGAGAACCAAAGAGAGGGGAAAAAATAAGTGATGATAAAGGGTTTGGCATGGTGAAACAGATAGGAAAAGCAAAACAACGGGTCAAATCTGCATAATTGAAAATTATTTTACATATAAAAGTTATCATTGTTCTAAACTATGTCTCACTGATAGCTTGCAGCATTTATTTCTGGCCCAGCAAGAAAACTGTCCATCCCACTTTACTCTACTACAGTGTTTTTCTTGGAAGGTAAATGACAAACCTCAGTCCACTTCCCCACATCCCAGAGAAAAAAATTGAGCCAGCTATCACGGATGATGTATGATATATTCACCGAATCACGTCAGAGATGGAATAAGTTTTGTGATGTATTTTTCATTTATATTATTACCTGGTCTAGGCAAATAGAGTCACCTATGGAGTTGAGATGATTCATCATGAAACTCAAAGGGTCAGATGAAGAATCACGAGCAAAGAGAAGGCTAAAAAGGTTGTGTATGGGTTCTTCCCTGTTCTTTATCTGCTCATAGGCTTCGACAACTTCGTAGAGCATGATGAATTTTATGGCCTCATACAGTTTGTGCTCCTTGCTCTCATCAGAAAAGAGTGTATTACACACGTTTCCTCTTTCTTCATGATCTTTAGTAGCACTTATTTCAGTCCACTGGAAAGCACACAGAAGAATATTAATCAAATTATTAAGAATTCTATTTAATATGAAAGACTCCAAAACAGGAACAATTGCCAGTCTGTACTATACCATTATTGTGGCCAAATGGTGGTACAAATAAGCACATGGCTCTTTGGGATCCGCAGTGAAATTTGAAGCCTTACACATTTCAGTTTCCATTTATCCAGCTGAACTTATTTGCTACAGACAGCTCGAAGCATCTGGATGCTAATGATAATCTACGAGAAATCAAATGTAATTCCCCTGTACAAAAGCCACTCTCCATCACCACAGAAAAATCCAGGTATCACTGTCAGTAAAGAGTCTCACAGAAGCGTAACCACCAAAAGGACCTCAGAAAGTTACAGGAAATCTGTGCGGGTGCATCAGACATACACACTGGGCCATAAGCAAAGGTTAGATTAAGTGATGACTCCTGACCTGTTTTTAACTTACAGCTTCCAAAATTCAGTGATTTTCCTCTATAGTACCCTTTACATTAAAGTTATCCTAGCTTGAATTCTTTAGATGCTGAGCCCAATTCAGAAGCATGACGATTAAAAGGAACCTATACAAACTGGACAAGCCAGCATGGCATTATGAACTGTACACTTTTGTATGTCTTCAGTGTGTTCTGCTTCATGAGGTCAAGGTAAGTTGGCCACACAAGAAGGGACATGACAAAGACCTGCACGGGACATGAACGGGGTAGGAATTTCTCATTCTGCTCACGGCTGGTAACGAGATCTCCTGAGCTCTCTGTTGCTCTAGAGGGGTCAAAAGTCAGTGCTCACACCCAGAAAATGGCCCATCCAGGAGACAATGTTGGACTGGGTATCAAATCAGAAAGCTTAAAGCACCCAGTCCTGAACACAGTGGCTAAAAAGAGTCATCTGGAACTGAGAGGTTTTCTGGGATCACAGTAAGAGATGACGCTCAATGACTGGGATTCAAATGAATTTCAGTTAATTCTGTGCTTGTATCATTTATATGTCGAAGTGGCCATAAACTGAATTGCAACAACAAAAATCTAATTTACACATGAATACTAAATCGAGAAACAGATCCCCCATCTCCTCATGCATTCCTGAAGACTTTCCTTACAGGTTAAAAATGAGACCAAGTGGATGAACCACTACTGCCCCTTTGCTAGAGGACCTCTACTACCTAAGCGAAAAGCCTGTCCTGAGTGTAAAGCACCTACTAACCAACATGGCCCAGGCACAACAGCATCTGCAGGCAGCAGCCCACAAGCTGATGACGGAGCTGGAGAAGGCAGCAGAGAGGCAAACGTCTCCAGCTTACCCAACAACCAGGCACTCTTCTGTGGCTTGGTCAATGGAGGCAAGTCTGGAGTGAGGCCCAGACTCATGAGTTTGGGGTGCGTAGCAAGCTTCTTGGAAAAAGAGTGTGCAGGTATATGACTAATACTCCTTGAAAGGCTTAAAATACCTTTGGCAGCGACCACTCCCTACCACCCCTGTATCTTAAAACCATAGCTGGAGCAGACAGGTGCATCTATAAGCCTCAGACACTAAGTAATATTTACTAAATCTGGCTATCCAAACTCTGTGGAAACACACAAGGTTTCCTACAGTATCAGCTGTATAAAGAACTAAGTAGACAGTTAAATACAGCAGAACCTGAACTCCCAGTGCTGGCTCTTTAGCACTTTTCACACTACTAAATGTACCGTAAAACCCTGTTAGTGAAAATAGGCAAAAATCCCTCTCATTGGCCAAACAGCATCTTTATAAAAATAAAATAAAGTTGGGAGCTAGACCTCATGCCCAGTGACAGCATAATGCATAATACAGCTGCTCTGCAACAATTTGTTAATTGTACAAATTTGTTCACCGTGCTGACTTGAAACTTTTTTCTGTACAAACATCCAGTTTAAATGCTTCATGCTAAGGAACTAACATCAACTTACAAAGAGCTACAACAGGATAAAAATAAAAGCCTAACAACCCAACACTGGCAAATGCGAAGAGCAACCAGAACAAAATGATAACTGCATGCAAGAACCGCCAGGCACGTCTCAAGAAGACAGGCAGTTGTCACTGTGGCACGGCAAGGTTGCAGGCAAGGGACAAGGACCAGATCTCTATTTTAATTCCCTCTTTTTATTACTAATGCTTTGTTTCTAGAACTAAATCAGTCTCTTTGTGGTTTGTTGTTTTTCTTTAAGTAACAATTACTATCACTGAAAATAGGGTTTAAAACTACAGAGTTGTGGCTCATATACACAGGACCGCATAAAAGGAACTAGCTTAAATGTGTACCAGTAAAATAAGCTGTTGTGGCTGTGGTAAGACAACCCAGAACCGTAAGCTGTATTGTAGAATTAAAAATGACAGTTTAAGGTCTGATATACTGGATAATGGATGCCTTCAGAGAAGCGTTTCAACCTAATCTTGGCCAAAACCCTGGAGTCCAGCAAATACCAGTATCCATTTGATGGCTGTGACCCAGTAGAGCATAGAAAGCAACTGCCCAGCAGGAGGAAGATGGGGAGGAGAGGGGTGGTGGTGTGTTAGGAACAGCTTGTGGCAAAGGAAATAGAACAGTCCACAGCTCGCGCAACTGCAGACACGCAGGAACCCCAGGGGAGCACAAGGAAGGTGCAAGGTTCTGTCAGGCCTAATTTTTATCACTGTTTCAAAAGGCTTTGGGGCTACTAAAACTCCCAACGTTTTAAATATGTAAGTAAGAGTTACGCTTCTGGTTGGGAACGCAGGCAATCTGGCTCTGCTGAGCAGAGGGGGCAGTGAGGCTGACAGGTCTTTGTAATCAAGTGCTTCAGGTTACGGAAAGAAATTATAGTAAAACTGGATAAATACAATGTTTCATGGAAAGAGAAGCAGAGGAAAGACAATAGTTTGAAAAGAAAATGCACTATTCATTTGTTCCCTCCCATTTGGGGAGGGAATCCAGGAGGATCTCATACAGCATGTTGTTATTTTTAATCAAAATGATGAGGTGCTGCAGGAGCCACTTGATGGCAAGGGCAACTAACCGTGCAGCAACTAACAGCTGTGGGGAGGATGGCCTCCCTAACTTTCAGGGGGACCCCTAGTATTTAACCTAGTAGATCCCCAAAAGCTGGATTCTCCTGCAGGGGAGGCGATGGCCTGCCCAGCAGCTCAGCACTATGAACCTGGTAGGGAGGCTGACTGCCATAGAAACATGTAACAAGGAACAGTTCCCTAACTCTATCTCAACTCGTTTCTCAGTGATTTTATTCCCCCAGCCATTTCCTAAATACTCACATTTGTCTTTAATGTCTCCATACATTTGCGCAATTTACCAAAGGCATTGGGACCCATGTATCTTTCTGGCCCAAAACTGTATTGCTGAATCCAGTTGCAACCTTGAGAATACAAAAGCTTTTCAGGGAGCTGGGGAGGGGGGGGAAAAAAGCTAATTAAGTAGAGATTATAACCATAACGAGAAGTAGAATATAAAGTTATATAAACTTGTCTACACACATTTTAATTTACGATGTGGTTCTGTCCTCTTGTTGTACAGTTCAAACAACAACAAAAAAATGGGCTTGGGAACAACTCAAATGTTAAGAAGGAGGCTCCATTTGACTGCCCAGTCCTTAAGAATCTTTTAAAGCAGGGCCAGCCAAAAAAGAAGAAAATACGCTCTCAGCAAAATATATAACCCACACTCTGGAAAAGCTGGACACATCCAAGCTCAGTGAGGTTTTTAGGATTACAGACACCTTCCAGCTTGCACACGCGTCCCCACAGGCAGCAGCTATAGCTCCCCACCTCCCCGCTGCTGTCTCCTGCCAGAGCTCCTGGAGCCCAGGGCAGGATTCCTGCTGCTCCAGCAACACACTCGGCAGCTCCCAAGCAAGCCACTGGACTTTGCATGGATGTGGATGAGGATTCAAATATCCTTTTGTGTTAAGGGAGTGACATCTAGCAGGGTGGCAGTAACATTTATCCATCCACTTTTTTTTTTTTTTAATAACCATTTAGACTGACGTTCACTTCGGTACGTTTACATCAGGGACACTTTTTCAATTAAGTGTAGTTCAAAGAGTTTGAAAAACTTCTCTTTAAATTCTGATAATGATTCTCCTCTACTTCCGTATCAGACACGTCAGTTTTCACATTGAACAAAGCTTCCTTCTGCAGTGCAAGGTCACCTGAATCATGTTCACTTAGGAAATGAATTTTACCTTTAATATATCTCTCTCCTTCATCCATGATGGAAAAGGAATGCCTTGGCTGAATATCTGAAAAAGCACTGCTCTTAGTACACAATAGTTGTCCCTCCTGACTTGTCGCAGATATTTGATGTGATAGCTCCAAAACAACTCTTCATATGCCTAGAAAAAGACCAAAAAAATTTAGCAATAAACATTTTAAACCTCAGACCAAACCCATGTTGAATTGGAGTCCAATTCCGAACTACTTATAAGGGGGGGCTAGGGGAAAGAGTGAGTATATTTGTAAGTTTTATATACACAAAAATGTTCTAACTTCATAGGTTTTGTAAACTCCTTACGCTGGCACTGCCCCTTAAGAGTGATTTTGCACTCCCTCCAAACCCAGCGACTTCCTCCAGTCTCTGCACTGTTGCTAGTGTAAACATTCACATGGTCAACCAAAGCAGGACAGCGAAGACTTCTTTGCCATAATAGCTTTAACCCTGACCACTTCACAACATGTGCCAACACATGGGGTGGAGCAGCCAAAGGGCAAGAACAGGCGTCTGGAGAAAAGTCCTTTTGGCAGAAACATCATCTTGCACTGACCTGAATCCATCGTGCAATGGTGACCTAAGCAGCTCTGGCAGCTCTGTGCTGAAGTGGATAGCCCTTCTTCCAGCTACGCGCTCCCTGTATTTCCTCTGCATTACCTCTGGCTCTCATCTGAGCCCTTGGTGAGACAATTCAGATCAATAAACTAGCAGAGAATTAGAAAGAGGACTCTACAGTTCCACAGGCTGCTGCATCAGTCTCACAGTTTGCTTCCTGAAGGGGGCAGGAAGGCGGTCCCAATTCCTGGTCCTCTGTCATCTCAGTTGCTTCCTCACCCCATCCCAACACCACTTCTCAGCTGCTACTTCTCACCACTACCCTTACTTTGCATTGGCTGTGATAGTAAGCCTACTGAATTCATCCTGCTGGGGGAGCTTCCTGCTGCTTCAGCAAGCTCAGGTGGCTCAGACAAGGGTCCTTCAGGATGACCGGCTCTATCAGCTCACCATCTTCGTGAACCACATCCAACAGAAGACGTAAGAGCGAGCGCAAAAGAGGGAGAGGGACTGCTTAGCTAGAATGAGGTGAGGAAAAGGAAGAGGCAAGACAAGCAAGGGACTGCCCCTTTTGGGGACTGCAAGCAGGTTAGGCTGGTTCAGGATCTCATGAGACCTCATCCTAAAATGTGCTCCTTACTGTCATAACTTCTACGTGATATAACCAGCCATCCACCGACTGCTCTATATAAAGGAGTCTCCTTTTCAGCTCTGATCACCTAGAAGGCTCATGGATTTTCTGAAAGGCTTGTTGCCCAGTCTGTTTTTGCAAATGTATTAAAAGTTTTGCTATCTTTTGTTACTTGTTCCTCAAAATCACTATTGGCCTTGTTGTGTGTTGTCCTGGGCACTTTTGGTATTGCTGTGTTCCTGCATTTAATCTGGCAAAGTCGGATCCTTTGTTAACTTCTTAAAGAGAAGTTTTTCAAACTCTTTGAACTACACTTAATTGAAAAAGTGTATCTGTTCATCATGTGGACACAATTCCAGCTTTTTGAAAGACATCATCTTTTTTCTCATAACTCCCTTATGCTGCTGTTTAGCCTTATCAGCTTCATCTTACCCTTTCTTAAGTCATTCTTGTTATGCATTTGCTCTGTGATTCCAATACCATGACCTAAAGCTATATATATATGTCAAGTACACCGACCGTAAATACTCAAGACTCTTAGCTGTCTTTTAGCTTCTTTTTAACATACTTCCTTGTTTTTATGTAGTTTCCCCTTCTGAAGGTGGATGCAATTGTAGTAATTTTTTTTGCTTTGTTGTTCTTGCAAGGATGTTGAATGCAAGTATGTGCTGTCTCCTGTTCCAGAGAACAGCAACAGAAATTAGAAAGTGACATTTTGAGGCAGATCCCGTGCACTACTCAGGACCAAGGCAAGGATTGCTTCTTTTCCTAAAGGCTCCCTGAAAAGCTGATCCATGAAACAGTCATTGGCAGCACCTTGACATTCAACCCCACAGCTGTTGCCAGTGCAGATGGCTAGTTGGTGTCTCTCATTACTACTGCATCTCCTGCCCCCTCTGCCTTTTTGATCTCTCTCAGCATCTCATGGTCAGTGTTCCCACCATCATCAGATAATCAGAAATATGGACCCAGTGCTACATTTGTCCTGTGCTGGTCTGAAATGCCACACCATGAGGATAGGAGGATATAACGTCACAGTTAGCTGAGTCACTGGATTTGACTCTACGCTTAACAGATACTAGCACTCTACCACCAGTATAGCTACTTTAGCTATAAGTTTTATGGGAAAAGTAAAAATCCAGCCCATGGTCTTTGAGCCTACCTTGGTGACTAAGGCTTAAAACAGCTGAAACAGAGAGCCATAAAACACGTGTTTGCTCTTCTTTGCTCCCGAGACCCATCCCTCTCACAAGTTAGCGTACTGTAGTGCTGCTCCAACCTCAAGCACTGGTCAGGGCCCTTCAGAGGGCATCGCTGCTCCCGCCATGCCCCCTGCCACGCTGCCTCCATTAATGGCCACCAAGATGTAGCTGCCAACAGCCCACTGCACGTGCAGTAACAGATGTCTTTTGCGGGAAGTGCAGCTGCCATTTCTGCCTATCGGGTGTAAGCACATACACACAACGTACAGAACTGAAAAACACGTTGGTGAGCTGACAGAAAACAGTGTATCTAGTGTTGGTGAACCATGAATTTAGGAGGTCCTTGGCTCAGGAGTTCAGCTATCCATGACTCAATGCCCAGTTCAGTGCAGCACAACTCTGTCACCTTGACTCACAGTTACGAAGAACACTTACTAAGCTGCAAGAAACTATTTCAGCTAAAATGATGCAAAGTAAGAGAAATAAAAATCCAGGGAGAAGTATAATTATTAAGATAGTCGCAGCTAGCAGCTCAAAGATACAAGAGGGAAAAAAAAAGAGAAGGAAAAAAAAAACACAAAAAATGCCTTACATGAAAAGGAATAAAAACCATAGAAGGGAAAAAAATACCAAAGATAATCAGAAAAGAGCATAGAATCATAGAATCATTGAGGTTGGAAAAGACCTCTAAGATCATCGAGTCCAACCATTGACCCAACACCACCATGCCCACTAAACCATGTCCCTAAGCGCCTCATCTACACGTCTTTTAAATACCTCCAGGGATGGGGACTCAACCACTTCCCTGGGCAGCCTGTTCAATGTTTAACCACTCTTTCAGTAAAGAAATTTTTCCTCACGTCCAATCTAAACCTCCCCTGGCACAACTTGAGGCCATTTCCTCTCGTCCTATCGCTAGTTACTTGGGAGAAGAGACCAACACCCACCTCGCTACAACCTCCTTTCAGGTAGTTGTAGAGAGCGATGAGGTCTCTCTCAGCCTCCTCTTCTCCAGGCTAAACAGTCCCAGTTCCCTCAGCCGCTCCTCATAAGACTTGTTCTCCAGACCCCTCACCAGCCTCGTTGCCCTTCTCTGGACACGCTCCAGCACCTCAACGTCCTTCTTGTAGTGAGGGGCCCAAAACTGAACACAGTATTTGAGGTGCGGCCTCACCAGGGCCGAGTACAGGGGCACGATCACTTCCCTACTCCTGCTGGCCAGCAGCACCGAGGATTAGCTGATGACCACAAGCAGCGGCGGCTGCCACCTCCCCACACAGCCCAGGGCTGTCTCCAGCCACCCCTCAGCGGCTGATGGGGGTGCTGAGGATGACGAGGACATTAACTGTGAGACTAGTAGCTTGTTAGTCCTAGCTGTGTGTGGTATGAGGCAGCAGGAGTTGCCGGGTGCAATTAACCTGCCTGTGTCCTGCTTGCAGCGCCCTGCGCAGGGGAAGATGCCAGTGCAGAAGCGTCTTGGACAGGGAGCGCCACGGCAGCGCCGCACAGCCGAGGGCGCAGAGCTGGAGCAGACGGACACTGCACGAAGGCAGGGGATGACTGCCATCCAGCACGCTGGTCCTTGCCTGCTGAGCACCGATCTAACCTGGCACAGGTCAGATGTGAGCTCTTGCCCCGCCTGCCCCCAGCTGCAGCTGATGCAGCCGGACAGGGGGCCGTGGCGGCTGCTGGGGAGGGTGCCAAGCACTGGCTGCTGTCACATGGACCTTCAGAGAAATGGGTGTGTTTCCTTCCTCCCTGGAATGAGAGTTTTTACCTTAAATCAAAGGCTGGCCAAGAGACAGCGCCTAAGACCAAGTTATTTGGGCTGTAGCACTGGGGATGATTTTTCCTGTTAAAGCCACTGCATGGGTCATCGGTGCTACACGGGGGAATTTGGAGAAGACGCATGACTAAAATCCAATCTACGTTTTGACCTGCTCTACTGCAGTCTTTATTTAGACCCATGTTCATGCTGTCCCTTTTGCTTTTCCTTTAGGCAGCTGGTGTAGCAGGCTCTGGTAGCTTCGGCAGCTGCTTGCACTGGGAATGCTATTCCTCTCCCAAGTACTTCTTCTCCCCCCTCCCCTTCCTCATTCAGAGATTAAAATTTAATGCTTACCTCCCTCATGTGTTTGGCCTGCTTTGTTTCCCCTTTCCATTCTCTCGCACTATAACCAAGTAGGTCAACTTCTGTCAGCACGCTGAGATTCCCTAAATCGAGATTAATTCACAGATTAGTTACCTTCTGCTGTTCTGCATCTAAAGGGTAGTTGCGGGTCGGGGGGTGCGGGGGGGGGGGGGGGGGTAAGGAATGGGGAGACACACAGAGCTGGATGCA